TTTTAAAATAGGGAGTGGAGTGGCTCTCTATATAAGAGATAAGTTGCAGCCTGTGGAAGTGAAAACGTAAAAGGTGATGAACAAGAGGTTCAATATATATACATGGGTTATAGTTAGGGGTTTCAAAGTTTTTAAATGACAGTTTATCAGGCAGACGTTTTCCATGATAAATTGTATATTGAGACCAGGACTGTTATTAACAAAGATACCGATGCAATAATCATGTCAGACTTTCATTTCAGAAATTTTTATTTGGATTATGTCGAGTCAGTTAGTAGAGAAGAAACCGTTCTTGAAATGATTCAGGGTGGTTTCTATATCAATGGTCAAGGAAAAAAACTACAAAGGATACCATTTTTGAGTTATTATTAACTAGGAATGAGGATGTGGCTATAAGAGTTGGAGACATATTAGGAAGATTAATAATTAAATAATATTAAAACTGATCTGACTAATGTATATCTTAATCCTTTCATATAAGTAAAATTTATAGAGGTTACAAGTCGATAAAGTATCAAGCCAAGTAATGTTTTTCCAGAAGTTTTAAAAGAGGTTCAAGAACAGTGTGTGTGTGTGAGGTGTGAAGATACTTGAGGATTGGAGACTTGGTAACATTATGCTTATTTGTAAAGAGGGTGATAAGAATTTTCCTAAATATTATAGATCAGTTAGTCTTACTCTTGTAGTGGGAACTATTCTAGAGAGTCCCATGAAACAATGTTGTTGTTTTTTAATCATTTAGTAAAATATAGCATCATAAAGAAAATCAACAAGGATTCACTAAAAAGCAGTCTTGCTTTACTACTATCCCACCCATTTTTCTGATGTTACCCGTTTACTGGATAATGAAGGTGTTTGGATTTGGTATTCTTAAATTTAGAGAAGTGATTTTGATAGGTTGACAAATAGATGATTAACTAGAAAAAATAACATTGGGTTGAAGGGCTGGTGGGTGGGGGAAAGTAAAAAATGGTTATTAGTGGAGTCCATTCAGACTAGGTACTAGGTCAGTACCTCAGTGATTAATGCTTAGATCTTTACTGTTTCTTACTTACATCATTATGAACATATGTGATCAATTAGAACAGTTGCTTGAGTGTTTCTAGCTATCTTGAAAATCTTAGGTGCTACATAATGACTTGAACCAATTGGTAAGTTGGACAAATAGTCAGTAAATGACTTTTATTTATAGTATTCGCAAGGTAATGAATATATTTAGGTTATCATAATTTGGATCACACATTGAATATAGATGCGAATCTTCTGAATATCATGACAGAAGAAAAAACCTTAGCTTGATGTCAGATAGGTCACTCAAGCTATTTAGGCAGTATTCTGTTGCTAGTGGGAAAACTAATAAAATTTTATGATGAATTTACAGGCATATTTAGTACCAGCCAAAAGAGATGATTATATCATTATACAATCTCTAGTTGGACCTCAGTTTTGGTATTGTGACCAGTTCTGATATTTTTATCTAAGAAGGATATAGATTTATTGAACAAGAGTTCAGGACAAGGCTACTTAGGATGATTATGGGGATTGATAAACTGTCTTATCCTATTGTCTCTTGAAGTTTACAAGATTATTCGGGGGATTGATAGTGTAATATAGGAACGTACTATATGTTTTCCACGTCTTTAATTAAAAAGTAAAATTTCCAAATTTTTTTTTCATAGTTCTCTGGTTGAACACAGAGAGGCACTAAACTGAGTTACTAGCTTTCATTTTCCTGAAGTGGCGAAATAGGTTAAGTGAAGACCGTATGCTTATCTAATTCTCTTACAGTTGTTGTTTTTAATTAGTGAGCTGATGTCTTTTTATTGACAAATTAGATAATAGTTCCGAATGGAATCGCCATTGACATTCACTGCCTGTTGGCTAACTGATCTAACAAGAACCAGTAATTGTTTTCTTGTGGTAGAAACTTGAGGGTTTATTGACATACATAAGACAGTGTTTGAAGCTTCAAAAAGAATAGTTTACACAATTTCTACAGTTACAAAAATTTAACAATTCATAAATTTAAGAAATGTAAGAACTTCTAAAGCTTTTGCATTACATTTGTTATAGCAGGTTAGTATATTTTCTTTTGCTTTACTCACGGGGAACTCCTTAATTTTACTTATGGAACTAAGGTTAACTTCCATTTTCATTCATGTGGTTGTATTTCGATATTTACACGTAGTTAATTAAATGGCTTACTGTAGAAGCTGTTTCACGGAATACTGGAGTGTCATTATTGTTGTAGTAAATTCCACACAGAAGTTAAAGTAAAGGTTAACTTTATCTTTATACATTGTAACAAGAGAATGGTCCTTTTATATTTTGGCCTAATTTACGGAAACAATTTTTACGGGAAATTAACAAACGAACAGAGACATAACATTATTGTTACGTATCTGGTCGTTTGTTAATTTCCAGTATAAATTCTTTCCAAGGAACTTCAGCGGTACAAGTCCTTTCTTAATTAAAACTAGTTTATTCTTTTTCGATACAGATTTGTAATACGCAGAATTTCCACAGTCACTTTAAACTTAACAACCTTTATAACACACGCTATAAATCACAGTGACTCACACACTTTACTTATGGTGCCTGCTGTTCGCTTGACCCAGTTATCTCTATCTTCAATCTATCTGCCTATCAATCTTTTCTTTATTTGCCGGGCTTATATACTAAAAAAGAGGGCGTCCCAAACAAACTAGGAAATTTACAATCATTCGAGAAACTCCTCGCACACGCCAGCAGCGCCAATGCGCCAGCAACATCACGTGACTTCCGCGGTTGTAACACTGCCCTTTCATTAGTATTGTTCATCCCAAACAATAGCCACTTACATTAAACCAATAGATAATTAACAGTAACTTAATTAAATGTACAGAATTTACAAATGCAAAATTAAAATACATCAAAGTCTCTTAATTTTACAGGATGTTTCTTCTTTTGTACTGGTCTCTGTCTCATTGGCTTTTGCTTCACGTGAAGTTCATCTACTCTATCAGGAAATGTCCCATTATCGGTAGCAGTCATATCAATGGTAGTAACTTCATTAACAGCTTCATTGTTTTCCTTCTCAAAACCGGGTAGAGTTTCTTCTTCGACAGTGGCTTTTTCAGGTGACACATCTTCAGCAGCGTCATTTGTTCCATTGTTCACCTCTATTCTAACTGTAATGTCCTGGACCGTGATAACGCCATAACCTGTTGGCATGCACCACCTTTGGCTTACCTCATCGACCACATTTTATACGGAAAGTCACGTCTGAGAGACGATCCACTATGTCATATTGACCTTCCCATGGAGAAGACAACTTAGGAGACTTCCCTTTGGTCTTCCTGGGATCATACAACCACAGCTTGTTTTCTGGTAAGAAGTTGACTTCAGTAGATCTATTATCATAACATAACGAATTTGTTATTATATATATTTATTTTATTATCGACGTTTGTTTATATTACATTTATATTTAAAAACATGCATAGCTTATACTGTTAAATA